TTTTTCAATATAGTATTTTATAATTTTAGATTTTGGTAGGTATCATTTTAATTATTAAGTGATTTTTAGATTGATTAAAAATAATATGAAAATTAAAAAAAAAAAAAAAAATTTTACGCCTAGACTCGCACAGCTCTGAGCTTGATCTCTATACCTTACGCTTTTTAAAATACTATTTACTATCCTAAATTTAAGTCAGAATCCATGAATATTGTATTTCGACTGTTCGTTTGAACTTTAGATGAACTAAGTTCATAATTTAACATATTTTTTTGAACTTTAATTAAGAACGAACAAAATTGACTATGATGCTACATAGGATTACTCTGATTTATCAAGATGAGATAGACAAACTTTGTCGCCATTATGAATCAACACTCAATTCTTGCATTTATGCATAATATTAATTTCATGAAGTACAATCATATTATTTTCTAATTGAGTTAGTTCCAATAGTTAAATAGACAAGATCTGTCATTAATGATACGGTCTATTCTTTTCTTCTGCGATAATTTTAAAAATCCCAACGTGGCTCAAACGTTTTGACTTATGACCATCAATTTCAAGAACAAAAAATAATGAAAAAAAATTATTAAAATATCACACGACGTGCACACTTCTATTTTCCTCCGAAAAAACGTATGATTTTGTTAAACAATACGTATTTAACATTTGGACGAGTAATGCTATGTAACTTCACTGGGGTTATAACCCCAGTTTAGGTGACTCTAAATGATAGGCTAAATGAAAGATGAAATTAAATGATTTATGTAATTCCACTTATCATTTAATGTCACATTAACGTCACCTAAATTAGGGTTGTAACCCAATGGGGCTAAATAGCGTGAAACCCTGAATCACCAACCCGTTCATATATGTAACGTGCAATTTTCTCGTTACTTAAAAGTTAAAAAGTGCAAAATGTCAAAGCACTTAGGGCTTGACTTTAAGTTACGTGAGATTTATCATCTAAATTGATGATTTCTTCACGCATGATTCAAGTTTACATATTTAATTAAGCTTATAACCCGAAATCTCTATTTTAAAAATTGAAGACTCAAAATCATAATATTCGGAGAAGTTAAGAGAGTCGAGCCCTGATTTTTACTTAGCTCTCGGTTTGGTAGAAATTAAAATATAGATTTTAATCTAAATTAAAATAATCACATATTTTATGGGACCTACAGCATTCAAATCATATATTTTATCAAAATTTGAATTTACTTAAATACAAAACTTGT